AGGGCTTGCCTGGCTCGGAGGGGGCTGGGCAGTCCCTGCTGGTGGGAGTCCCTGTGAGGTCCCAGCTTGCTTTATCTGCAGGGATCTTCATAACTCAGCATCTTCCTGTGGTTGCTGGCTGATAACAGGCTGCACTTACTGCTTGCCACTTGGTTTGTCAGCTCTGTAAGCCCTAAAAAATGGGGGTTTTTTAACTGATGAAACTGTTTTTTCCTGTGTCACTTTTGTCTTTCCTCTCCCTCCTGTCCTTCAGTTCAGGATTCAAAAACTGCAGATGCTCTAAGCTAAGCATGACTCACACCTTCTAGTTGATTTTGTGAATTATCCAGCACATGACGCTGCCGGGAAAATGCTGGGAGTGGAGGGGGTGGGGAGCGAGATACGGATTTTTAAGACCCCAAAGGAAATGCTTGGAGCATGTGTGTGTGGTCCCTGGGTCACTGAACTGGCTGGTGTCCCAGAACATGTCCTATGGGCCACGTGAACCAAGGGGGCTCTTGGGCCCTTCGCTGGATGCCAAAGCATGGTCTGAGACTTCAGGCAGAAGTGTGGGTGTGTTGTGCTGAAAGCCTTGCTTGAGGAGCTGGCTGGGGGTTGACCTCTTGGAGAGCCAGTGCATATTCCTGTTGCCTGTATCTGGATGTCACCTGCCTCTTTGTCACACACCTGAGCATCGCCAGCAGCATCTGAGGCTGCCTGTGCTCCTCTGTTGTGGTTACCTCGCTCTCTTTGAAGCAGTGTGGTGTTAGAAATGCTGAGCTGTGGAGCTGAGGTAATCCTGGAAAAAGCTAACGAGGCAGATGACAGAATATAAGAAGGAAAAGGTTGTTTTGTGAAATGTTGAGAAGCTGTTGTACCTAGAGCCGTTCTTAACTCAGCCCTAAAGGCAGGGCTTGCAGCTGTGCTTGCAGGAGCCTCCGATGCACTGAACCTTAGGAAGGCTTATTTTTGGGATGAGCTCCTGCCAGTGGAGAAGACCTATGCTTGGAGCTTGCAGAGAGGCTCTTCAGGATCCCTCGAGCAGGTGAGCTCCCTCTTTCGTGCCTCTGCATGGATTTTGCAGCCCACCACTACTACAAACGATGATGCTTCCGGCCATGTTTCTGCCCTGGTCCTCCCCAGCTGGCTGTGGCCGTGGCTGGGATTCCTGGGCTGGCATTTCTTTATTGTCAGCTGTGCCAGAAGCGTATATCCCAGGTCTGCTCCCTGCTGTGCCAAGGCAGCTTGGCTGAATCAGACTATGGTAAACCCGTTGTTAATGCTTCACACCTCCCTGGTGCCGTAGCTGCTGTGGTTGTACCCCTGCTGCTCCGTGGACCATCTGATGGCTTGCGGCCAGGGACAGGAGATGGGAAGTCAAATTAATTCACAGCAGCGAATGTAACATTCATCTCACCTTTCATTTTTTTTAGGCATACGATTAGGGCATAAGGAAATAAATTTCTTTCGCCCTTCAATGCGAAGCCTCTTGGCAAGGAGGAATTGTGAGTCTCGCCAGTGTCATTGGGGCCATCCTGTATTTCAGCACAAACCCAGTGGGTGTAATGCCTCGGAATGAGTGTGCTGGGGCCGTGCTGAGACTAGATGGGGACTGAGGACTTGTGCCAATGACGCTTCATCCCAGACTGTGCCCGGCTGGTCCACATCTCCAGTTATTTTGTAGTTGCTTCATGGTTGGATACGTGTCTTCAAGGACGGAGGGTTGGTTTCCTTGGCTTCTCTTACAGCTGTGGTCATGCTTGACTCAGTGCCATGGGTGCTGGGTCTCGTCTTGAGGGTTCCTGTGGGATCTGATCTGGGTGTTCCTGCTCCGGCAGGGGGATTGGACTGGATGATCTTTCGAGGTCCCTTCCAATCTCTAACATTCTGTGAGTGCTCTGCACTTGCCATCCCCCCAGACTTGCAGGGGAGTTGCGGGTGTCTCCGTCTCTTGCCACCTGGCTGGCTGACAGTGCTTCATTGTGTTCATAATGGGATGTTCTCATCTTCTTTGCACGTTGTTCTTGGGCTGACGGGTCTTGGGAATAATGTGCTCGGATGAGTTGGAGGCAGGCAGCCCAGCCAAGTTGCTGATGGTGACGAAAGGTCTTCCTGTGCCGCCTGCCCTGCCAGCAGCTTCAGGCAGCACAAGGCGAGGGCTGTGTGCTCCAGCCGGCCATTTGCGGGTTTGTAAGAGAGGCTTAATGGAGTGCGTACGTAGCCAAGTGGCTTCTTCAGCAGTGCGTGAATGACTCCAAACGTGTGAGCGAACCCAAGGCTTGCTGCTGCCCTGCCAGCCTGCTCCGCTGTGTCCTCGGAGAGCTGGCAGCACCGTGGAGCCCAGGCGCTCGGGACCTTCCAGCGTGCACATCGTGAATAGCCCACCAGCTTCCCTCCCTCTGTACTGGGTTAAGACACAGCCCCTGTATTCGTGTCTAGGCTCTGCAATTTGGCCGCTTGTCCCAGAGCATTGCCCCCCCTTGCTTTGTCCCCGTTTAACTTCGGAGACCCGTGAGCTCCTTCCAGTAGATCTCTGGCGGAGCAGCGGGAAGCAGCAGACCCATCTATATGCACGTGGTGTTTTGATGTAAGGAGTCTGTGCTTTCTTTAGGAAGTTTTTAGTGGCCCATCAATCAAGAAGGGTTGAACAATCATTGCTGTGTTGTAGGAATGAAGCTCACTGGGGGAGATGAGACTTTTTTTGGGGGCTGGTGCAAGCCTGCCAAGAGAGCAGCAGCCTTCTACCACAGCCCTCCCGCTTTCTCGCCTTTATGCCAAGCATGTTTCTGTCGTGTCAGCGTGTTTTTCCCAAACAAATAGAGAAATCTGTCTGGATGTGGGTAGGATGGAGTGAAAAAAAACCCCCTGAAGTCCTCTGCACACGTGCCTCCCTGGGGAGGAAGGAGCAAAGGTCTGCGAGCACCGTCCGCACCGTGACGGACGGGACAGAGCTCCCGAATACCCCGGGGAGCAGAGCAGCGTGTGAGCCTGGGCAGAAGTGAGAGGGATGGGCTGGGATGCAGTTTCATAAGCGTTTCTTACAGCAGCAATCTTAATGCAAAACACAGGCAGCTCTGGAGTGTGTTCATCCTTGTTCCTGCACTGCCTTGTCTGGCTGGTGCAGCTGTTCAGCCAGCTGTGCAGTGGGCTTGCTCAGAGACCTGCTGCAGTTAAAAATAACACTTCCTCCACCGCTTTTGTATTATTTTTTTCTTTAAACTGTCAGGAACAAGTCCTGCTTCTTGAATATGTGGTTGTAAAAGCACAGCCCTAGATTTGGGTTTTTTTTGTATTGAGGGGTCTTTGCTTAGGTCTGAGCTGACAGTAGGGCTCGAACCTCAGAGTTGGGTGTGCCCTTTGTAGGGACCACGGAAATAAAGTCTCCGTGAGCAAGGTCCCCTTATGCCATCCCAGGGAAACATGCATTCGTGACCAGGAGGCACCCTGGGTTTGTCACCTGTGAACAGCCCTGCTGCTTGGCTGTGGCTTTTCCAGATCCGTGGCTGAAGGCAGCGTTTCTTTCTTTAGACACAAACACCCACTGGAACTTTTTAAAAAGAAGTTGCAATTAAAAAAAAAAAAAAAAAACAACAACAAAACCTTAATTGCACCATCCAGAATTGTACGTGCTTAAAGTGAGTCACTATGAGATGGTATAACCATAATCTTTGTCCTTGTCCCCACCCTGCTGCTTGTCACTCTCCTTCCCTCCAGCACTGTTAGAACTTCTGTCATCTGCAAAACTTCCTCCTCTGCAGCAACGCTCGACCAAAAATTCTGTTGCATGTGATAAAGGATAAAATATTTATCTGACCTTTTAGTACATGCAAATAGAAACTCTTCTGGATAATTTGTGAAAATACCTGGGTGCAGAGGACCATCTTGATGCTTCTCTGTCGGAGCATGTGCGTCCATGGGAGAAGAGGGAAGGCTCGTGGGACGGTGGCTCGGGGACTCACAGCTGCCGTCTCATTTCCTTGTAGTATTTTCCACCCTTGGCAGTGATGGCAATCTTTTATCTCCTCCCGCTCTGAATGCTTTCATAAAGGGCTTCCTTATAAATTCCCCTTGTAGTTTTGGTACATTCTGGGGGTTTTGAGGTATTTTTACTTTCTCTTCTAGGCTGTGGCTGTGCTCTAGCGTGCTAAAGAGAAACCCTGCTCTTCCCCAGAGGTTTTGCCTCCGCAGCACAGCAGCCGTGGTTCCTACCTGCCCTGCAGACTGGGGAGCACCGGGTAGTTCTCTGCTTTGTGCCGTCCCTTTCAAAGGGGAGATATTTCCCTTTTTGGGTCCTGTTAAGCTGCTTAGCTTGTCACATTGAGGGAAAAACCAAATGACGGACCTCTCTAGTATAAATTTTCCAGTGCCTTAAACTCCCCTTGAAGCAGACAGAACCAGATGTGGCAGATGTGCAGAGCGGGACCCCCTCCTGCTGTCTGGGGGCACAGCTCAGTGTGTCCTTGGGGTACCAAAAACCTGATGTATACCTGCTACCAAAAGCCTGACCCTGATGCTTTGTCCCTGTCCCCATATGGATGTGACTTGGGTTTTGTTGCCCCGCTGCCTATCATAACAAGTTAAAAATAAACCTTGGTGGTTTTCTACGCTGTGGGTAGAGTGTTCCTTTGAAAGATCAAAAAAAGTGATAGGTATTGGCAAAAATCTGCAGCTTTCAGACTGGTGCCCAAGGGAGGCTATCCCTTTCCCGTTTCGCTTCGCTGTGGGTCGTTTTCAGCATCTTCAAAGGGTTTTGTACACAAGGTCTGATCCCGTGGTGGCGTGGGCAATTTGCTCTTAAACTAACAAACGGGAGGTGGAGGGGAGATAGGAGAAGGCTTGGTATCAAAGGGATGTGCAAGAATAGCTGCAAGTGCAGGGGGGGGTAAAAAACCACAAGTCCAGACCTTGGCTGGTGGGAAGTGTCTCAGAACTCTGTGTGTGTATGTTCCCCAGACCGCCACAGTTCTTTTGATGTTTGGGGTTTTTTTCTTTTTTTTTTCTTTTTTTTCCCCCCACTCCTGATGCTAATCGTGTTGTCTTTGTTTCCCTATCCAGTATGTCGCGACTTTGCTGTTCTGGAAGATCGTACCTTGGCCTATAACTTACAGGAGCAAGAGAGTAAGTAGCAATGATCTGAAGCAAATTTGTCCCAGCAGATACCTGGCTTTGTTTTGCTTTGCTAAGAAATATCCTCCCTGCGTTTATTTAGTTTTTGTTCTTTTTAATGGAGCATGGATCATTACTGCTGCCTTCACTGTCCTGTAACGCTGCGTTCTGCCCCAGCTCCCGTTGCACCCTAGGGATGGTTCCATTTCACGTTCCAATTTTGTGCTTTCCTTTAGAGTTGAGTTTGTTTATGCCATTTATGATAAAATTGCATGTGGGAGTGCACTTGAGGTTTTGTTGCTGTGCAAGGTTTTTAGAAATGACTATCAATTTTGGAAGCTTTAAGTTTTATAGGAACTTATTTCAGAATCGCTGGTGCCTGCCTTTTGAAAGGAGGCTTCCTTTTAAGACATTTTGAGGTAGGGCAGCTGTACACTGTAGGGTTTAGAAAGAAGAAAAAAAAAAAGTACAGCCAGGAACGTCAAAGTGACTGGTGATTTTTTTTTATTTTTTTTTACATGCTTATCTGTTACTTGGGGTATGTTTGCATTGCAGTTTCAGGTGTGGTGCTTTGCTGGATGCCAGGACTGTTGGTATCTCCCAGTACTAGGTGCTATTAGTGCTCCAGCTACTCTGCCAAGCCTGCAGCTTGTGCTGAAGTTGTGCCCTTGGCGTGGGAACCTGAGACCACCGAATTAAAGCTGGCTCTGGGCTGCAGCTCATGTAGCCATCGTTTCTTGCAGGCGGTATCCATGTATGGTAAAGGACTTGCTGTAGTACTCAGTTGCTCTGTGCTAAATATAAAGGTAGTGAGATTCTGGAACCAGTTATCTTGAGAGCAAGAGGATTTTTCTCCTCTAGAGGTTCTTGAGAACAAACTGGGGAAGCATCCACCAGAAGTGGTTTAGATTCAGCTCATCTTGACTGGCTTCTGGTGGTCCCTTCCAGCCCCACTTTAATTTCCTGTGGCCAGAAAATGAAATTCAAAGCCTAGAAGGCATTCCCTATAAATGTAGATGTGATTAAGATATGCAGATCTTGTTTTGCTAACAGACACGCATACACAACCCCCTCAGTACTGAAGGGAGGCAATCTCAAGCTGCTGGTGTCATTTCAGTTCAGGACTTCCCCACCTTAGAGATGCTACACGAGGTTTCCCTGCCAAGAGCTGTCTTCCTTTCTGGCCTGGAGTATCCCTCCCACTTGCTTTGTCTTGTTCACACCGTGTACTTCTGCAGGCTGATCTGGGGGTTCTTGTCTGTGTTTATTTCCAGTTGAGCATCACTTGGCAACAAACGTTCAGCGTAATCGGCTGGTGAAACATGATTTGCAGGTGGCCAAGAAACTGCAAGAGGAGGATCTGAAAGCACGTGCTCAAATCCAAAAACACCAAAAAGACTTGTGAGTTTGGGATGGAGCTGTTGAAACGCTGGTTTGGTCAGAGCACCGAAATCGGCTGCCTTGGTTTGAGTTGATTGACAGTACGTGGGGTTCAGGTTGATCAGCCCTTTGCTTTTGTTTCCTTTTCTCTCCATTTCTGGGGAAGTATTGGTTCTAGGCTCTGGCACAGCATCATGAGAACATCATGGGGATAGGTGGTCCTGCTGCCTGTCCTGGCTTAGGTTCTGTTGCCTGACCATGGGAAGGAGCTTTCCTGTTCTGCTGCCTGTTGGCAAAGTGGGGTGACTTGGTCACTTGCATTGACCTTGTCCCTGGCGACGGTCTGAGAGAGAAGAAACCGCACCACAGAAATACACAGTGTTGCAGTGAATTCTCATGGAAATTGCAGATATTGGCATGTTTGCATTGTGCCTTATGAATCATAGAATCATTAAGGTTGGAAAAGACCTCAAGGATCATCAAGTCCAACCATCAACCCAACACCACCCAACCCACTAACCCATGTCCCTCAGCACCACATCCACACGTTTCTTGACCCCCTCCAGGGATGGTGACTCCACCACTGCCCTGGGCAGCCTGTTCCAATGCCTGAGCACTCTTGCAGTGAAGACATTTTTTCTAACATCCAGCCTAAACCTCCCCTGGTGGGCACATGAGGAGCTGGAGGTGATGCTTTTTGGTGTCCTGCTGCCCTGAACGGCTGAAGCCCCTGCTCGTGTTTGCAGATACTCCAGTGTGAAGTGACCTGGGAAGAGGAGCTGCCGCCCCAGGGCCAGTTGTTGGAGATGGGTGTTGGGGACAAGCCTTCTCTTGCAGTCCCTGACTTCTGCAGCGGCTGTGGGAGGATGTTTAATGAGTAATCCCGTTTGCTCTGCAGGTTTGCTCAGGCCCCACAAGCCAGATCTAACCCTGTGGCCGGTGATTTGGCTGTGTGCCGTGGCTCTTAGGCTGTGGAGCTGGTGTAGAAACAAAACATGGCAGTGCAGGGAAAAAAAAAAAAAAATTTCCAATCCAGAGTTGACGTGGGTTCTTTTGTCTTTGTTTTTCTTTTTTTTCTTTGCCCTGCCCGCCCCAGTCTCTTGCAATACGTGGGGTGTAACAAATGGGTTGTGTGACAGGGCTCAGATCACGATGATGAGAGGCAGGAGCGTGCTTTCTGATGGGATTCCCCTGCAAACGCAGGGGCTGCAAGGTGGGGTGCATCCCCCAGCAGCTGCGCTGCCTCCTGGCTTGTGCGTGCTCCGTGATGCCACCCACCGCATCTCAGACCCTGGGTGGCTCATCCGGCAGAGGCAGCGGTGGAGCAGAAGAGCTCTGTATGGCAGATGTGTGAGATACAGGACTGGCTTCAAAGGAGCTGCTCATAAAAGATTAGAAGGTGGGGCGTGACAAATCAGCTGCTGATTTCAATGTTCCCAGCATCCTCAGGCAGCACTGGCAGAGATGTGTGTGTATCTCAAATCTGTGCTTTCTCTCAGTAGTTTTGTTTTCATTACTAATTAGAGATGTGAGCATGCAAATGACAACGTAAAAATTAATTCTGTATGGCACAGATGAGTTCTTTTTTGTTACTTGCTGGGAACTGCAAACGATTTTCTTGTTGTAGGACTCTAAAATGGGATTTATGAACTTCGTGAGCCAAGTTACAGGCAGAACTGCTGATGCAAAATGTAGTGTCAGCAGCAGCTCTTCTGAAAGAGGAGGAAAAAAAGTTGGAAGCATGCTTTCGTAATTGGATCTTTTTCTTCCTTAATTCTTTGTCCATTCCCGCTGTCTTTTCCTTGTGCAAGATCAGCGTGTTCTGGCAACAAAGTGGTCCTCGCTGTTGCCACGTTCTGTAGCATCACAGTTTGATACGGCAAGGTGATGGGAGGCGTAAAGGGGCAGGACTGGGTGGTCTTTAGAAACAGGGGACAAAAATGTTCTTCAAATTTATGGGCTTTCTTCTGTCTTTCAAATCCTAGATTCTCTCAGAAAGACTTAGTGAAGATAAATGAGAGAATAGAAATAACTTGTTAAGAAATTCAGGGAAGCATCAAACCTTATTTTCATGCTTCGTTAAAAGCATCTCTCACATCTCGCTGAGCAGCCTGCACGCTGCCAAGCATAGTAGCAAGGTTGCTGAAATAACTGTCGGAAATACCGTGAAAATCTGCTCTTTCCTCGTTTTGCTCCCGGTGCTGTGATGGTTCTGTTACACTAACATGAACGGTTCCCTTAAACCCTTTTTTTTTTTTCTCCTCATCTGGCAGCAATTAGTTGCACCAGCCAGCATGAATGGGAGTTCTCTGAGCACACTGGCTTTTTTTTTTTTTTTTCCCTCTTTACTAAACTGATGTAGAATTTCCCTGACACTCTTAACACTGCCCAGGAAGGACACCTAGGCTTGATGTTGAGGGATGGTGATGTTCATGATGCTCTGTCTGATCTCTGGGGACTGATGGGCACTTGAACTCACGCTAAAGAATCCGAAGGACAAGAAGAGCTGTCAAAGTTCTTTAACCTTCTTGCTTGTGCTCGGTCAAATTGAAACACTAGCCTATGTTGAATAACTAATCAAATCTCAGTATTTAATTACCACAGAGCAATAAACCCTAAAATCTAATCTGTTGCTGTTCAGTGGTTCTTAGATGGATATTCCAAGATGAGTGTCATCAGGAACAAGAAAATGCTTCTGCTTTTGCATCGCTTGTAGTGTTCTTCGTGAACAGAGAGGCAATGACCTTGTTGCCTTGGCTCTGGAACAGGATTAGCCGTTTCTGTCTCCTGTTTGGCTGCAATAAGAGGTATTTTAAGCATTTAGCAAGTCACTTGGTGCTGGTGAATTTGGCACCTTAGCTCTGTTCACAGGTGCTGGCGGAACCGGAGACGTGCAATGCCTTGATATGTCTGACCTTTCAAACTTGTTTTCTACCTGGATTCATGTCCTCTGAGACTGAGGGCATAAAGGATCCGCTCTCTTAGACCCACTGTCAGTCTGCTCCCCAGGATTTGCCCGTTCAGCGATTGTTTTGCTGGGGATTCTGGTTCCCTGCTGGTGCCAGGTTCGCCAAGGTCCCTTTTTCTATGACAGGTTCAAGGATTAGATTTGCTGCGGTGTGAGCTTGTGCAACTTTGAACAGGTCTCTCTCTGGAGTCAAGTGAAACGCATACAGACACACAAAATGCCAGGTTTTATTCGTTTCAATAGAAACTCCTGTCTGAAGATATTATTATTATTGACCTGTAGGTAACTCCAGCCCTATGAACACTGGAACTCAGGAGGGCTCTCCAGGGTGTCTCTAGACAGTTTATGGATATGCGGAAGCGTCTGCGAGTGTGGTGGTCTGGGAAAGGGAAGGAAATGTCATGTTGTGACACTTGACTTGGGGTTCATATGTGTTTGGGGAAAGGGATATAAAAACCATGCAGTACCCAGTTGCAGATCTGCTTCCAAGGAGCAGTTGACAGATCTCAGGCAGCTTTTTTCCCCTCCTGTACCATGTTCCTTTTCATTCCCTGTGACAGATTAGTTGTTTCTTGGTGGCATTTGTCCTCTAACCTCATTGCAGTGTCCTTCCTCCCCAGCCTAAGCCCCATATCCACTCATTCTTCTCTCGTTCTTCACATTCTCTAAAAGCAGGCTCTGCGATGCCACGCGCTGCTCCAGCCGTGCCCCTTTTCTCTGCTTGCCCACCAGAAGTGCTTCTCTGCACTTACTATTTGAATTTCCTCTGTTCACATCCTAGACTTCCTTCCAAGCAAGGTCATTTGTGCCCTGATCCTTGCTGAAGCCTAGAATTAGTCGCTCCAGCCCACACGGCACACCTTTGATGTAACTGAACCTGCTTCTCCTGAAATATTTGCTTGACTTCTTAATTCGTTCTTGGTAGTCCTCCCATCACCTATCTGATCCTTGCCAGTGTGTTCTTCAAAAGATTGTATTCTAATAAAGTGAGCTCTGCCTGTTGCTGTTCCCATTCTCATCTCCTCCTATGCTTTGCCTTTCAGTAGTCTCAGCTGCAGAAATAACTTCGATTGATTTTTTTTTTTTTTTGACCTGTTTACAGCTAGTCTTTGGCTCAATTTCAACAGTGCTGAAAGAGAGAGCTCTTAATATTTCTCCTCTAATCCCCCAGCCCTTGGCTGGGTTGCCCTAAGGAGCCCCTGGCCATGGTTCCAGGCGGCGGAGCACGCAGCTGAGTATGGCACGACTCTTGCAGATGCTTTCTGTATGACATCCCTGAAATGCAGCCCTCCTGGTCTGTCTGCACAGGCGAAACTCATTTCACATCTCAATTACTCTGGTATCTCTTTTTCTGTCCTCAGCTCATGCAATATTGCATTGTTCCTGCATCTGCAACAGACCATTGCTCCCTCACCCCTGGTGTTGCCTCGCGTCGCTCCCTGGCCCCTTGGCACCAGTTCTGCTTTTGTGTCTCATCCCACCTCAGCGGCGTTTCTTCTTCATTACTGAACTGCCACCTCCACTCTCCGCTTGGCCTCCTTACTGCGTCCTGCTAGCAGCATTTCTGCACTTTCTCCTTCGTGGCTTTCATGGGAAAACCCCTTCCCACAAGTACCTGCATTAACCTGGCCCCCGAACCGCTCCCTTGGCACCACGGGGACAAAAGCTCCTCAGCAGCATTTGACTGTTTGCAGAGGCTTCTGTGCACTGCCTTGGCCTCCCCTCTCATGGTTCTTAGCAAACTGCCTATGAATCTGTTTTCCCTTGTTTTATACTTGGATTGTGGATGTTTTGGGACCTATTTTCTAAATCTGGCCAGCAGTAAGTACGGGGAGCTCTGCTCCCTGGGGAGGATTCATAGGCTCTGCACTGATACCGAGGAATAATTCTTTTGTGTCAATCAGAGGGGCTCTTTAGCGGTTCTGTTTCTTTCTCCAGGCTGACGGATGCCTGTGACTTTAGCTGCCTGTAATCCTTGTCTCCTTGCCTTCTAGAGAACAGCAGGACTCCGAAATCGCTCAGGAAATCCAAGTGAAGCTGGTGTTTGAAGCGGAGCAGCGCCGGAGGCAAGAAGAAAACGACGAGGTAACCTTTAAAGCTGCGGGGATGGCTATCTGTAGCAGCCCTTCCAGTACAGGAATTTCTCGGCCATTAGCCACAGCAGTTGGCTCGCGTGGTGTCAGTCCTGGTCGTCACTGATCTCAGTCTGCACAGAGGTCTGGGGGGCTCCTGTTACAGGAATAAGATACAGTCTCGGTCCTCATGCTCGAGGGTCACAAGGGTGGCTGTTGCCTTGCTAACGAAGAGGACAAGCAACAGACGGGTCTTGTTGAGATGTTTGCTGCCCTGGTGTAGGACGTTGTAATTGTTTGTGCACTCCAAGGTCTAGCTGCTTGCTCTCTCAAATGCAAGAAGACAGGTGCTACTTTTGGGAGAATCCTGGGTCACAATTTTTTCTCTTTGGTGCAAAGACTTCAGCAGAAAACCAGCCGTCGCCCATCTCTGGCTCCTCCGTTACCTTCCTTCGTCTTCAGTTTAGTCTTTCCCAGCCTGAACACCCTCTTGCAGTCTCTTGCTAGCAGAGTCCTTTGGTGATTTCAGAGCATTGCTCTGCTGCTGTTGCTTGAGAGTGGGCAGTGTGCTTTGTCCCTGGTATTCAGAGGATTTGGCTTGTTGGTCACGTTAATGTGACAGCCTTTCGGAAAGCCACAGAGTGGAGGAACACCTGTGTGAGCCTGGAGTGTGGCCCCATGCTTGATCACAGAGTTTCCTGAGAAGTCTGAGTAGTCTTAAGATGCTCAAGAAGCACCTGGGGGCATTTTCTCTCTAGGAAGAGCTTGGACACAAGGCTGTGTTTCCTGGAAGAGCCTGAAATAGGAATCTATCCCTACCTGACAGATGGATCGGTTTGCCTGTGCAGGATCTCATTTTCTTCTTATGCCATTAAGTCCAAGTGAGCACTGAAAGGCTGACCACACGCCAGTCTAGCCATGTATTTGCCGCACACGAGGGTGTAGTAGCTGCCTGGTGTACCTGATGGGTCTCTACTATCTGTAGTGGTTGGTTACTCCAGTGCTGTGCTGGAGGCAGATCCAGGCTGCTGTGCTGGGTTTTGAAATGAGGTGCTCAGCCCACCTGCCTACCAGTCTAGTTTGTAAGAAGTGGTTTGTGTGGATTTACAAGTCCTGAGCTGTCTCAGTCCTGGAGATAATGTTCTTAAGCCCATGTATTTATAGACTTACTGTACTTGCTAGAAGAGGTTAACCTTGGCAGGGGAAGGAATTTTTTTGGGGGTGTAAAGAGCTGGTTAATGAGCAGATCTGATCTGAATCCTGAAAGAATAATTTGTACTTGAACACCCATCCGGTGTCCTCCAGTGCTGGCTTTGGTCTGGAGGGTGCTGGCTCTTAGTTTGCATTTCAGCGATGCCTTTCCTGCCAGCAACGTGCACTTCACATGCATGGCTCTGTAAAGGTCCTGAGGATTAAAGGAGGCTTAAATGAATAACATCCAGAGGGCTAGCCTGCCCTGCTGGCATCCTCCAGCTTCTCTTCTGAGCTTCAGACCAGCTCTGCTGACTCACAAGCTTTTGGGCCCCAAATGAGCAAGCCCCAGGGAGCTGTTTGCTGTTGCCGGGTCTTGTTGATCCATTAGTCATCTCGAAGGAAAACCAATTAGGAAAACAGAGTGCTATTCTCTTTTGATGGCATATCTACCAAAACTGCGACAGAAGATAAACTGCTGCAGTCCCCGCGGCGCTCCTGCCTTGTGCCCAATCCTCTCTTCCTAACGTCCCTTTCGATTTTCTTTCCCTTCAGCCTCTGTCTGTCAAATTGATGCATTTCCCCGCTGGGGATCCTACAGTCCCTGTAAATTACAGCCGGTTTGAAGCGAGTTCATGACTTGCTCTGGGAACTCCTTCCAGCCTTTGCTCTGCGTTTTCCTTTCCCTGGAGGAGGTTGGGGGGGTCCAGCCCGCTCCCGTGAGCGGGTGTGCGCTTGTGTCACTTCCAAATCCTTGCTGAAAGCCCAGGGTTGCAAACACAGTCCTTTCTGCCGTGCTTTGGCCATTAGAGCTTTGCAGGATTGTGTGAGCGGGTGGAACCGGGAGCCTGTGGGTCTGCAAGCCCCCCATGGGCCTGGGGGAGGTTGGGTCCTGGGTGCTGAGGTGGTCCCTTGGGTCAACCACCAAGCTGGAAGCCCCATCCAGCCCAGGGGCTCAATTGGAGAGTAACCCTGTCATTGCCATGCCTGAAAACTTTGTAATTGAATAAAATGTTTATAATTGAATAAAGAATTTGGATAAAAGAATCTGAAGATTTTTTTTTTTTTGGAGGACAAGGTAATGTCTGCTTTCTTCCATCTCCGCAGGACATTGCCCGTCTCCTACAACAGAAGGAACTGCAGGAAGAAAAAAAGCGCAAGAAGCACCACCCAGAATCCCAGGGACACACAGGGGATGAAGACAACTATTATGCAGAAAATGGAGGTATGTCTCTGCTAGATAAAGGATCAAGATCACGGCAGTATAGGTGAACGTGGTGATGTGGCAGCTCCCTTTAGGAGGTTTCCCTTGTCCTGCAGTCAGTGCTGTAGCGTTGCATCAGTTTCATGGGTCAGGATCAAACATTATTCTAGAATAAGGAAATATTAAAAAAAAAAAGTGGAGAAGACGATTTGATAATTTTTTTATGTCCTAGAAGGTGGCCTAAAGAGCAGAGCTAGGGTGTGTGGTGTGTGTATGTGCAAGCACACCCACGCATAGGTGTTTTGAAAGGGCTTGTGGAAAAAGAGAGTAGCTGATGGTCCTGATAAGCCACAGTTACTTCTGTGCAACGCCGCAAGCGTGCGGGGGAGCAATGCAGATGCGGTTCCACGCTTGCAAGGGAAGCGGTTCTGTATGTTCATCTGCGATGCTGGCACAGCTACGTGCGTAAAGGAATAAACACTGGCTCATGGAACAGCCTTTCAAAAATAACTCCTTGCAGGTATGTATCCAAGCATTAAAATTAGCACAACCGCCTTGAACGACTTACTGAATAACAAGGTCATCTCCACTGAATGTCTCTGCCGTGATTATCTGTGGGACTCTACATTGTGGAAAATACATGCCCCACAGTGCTGTATTGCTTTCTCTTGATCGGCTTTTATGATTGAATACAGACCTTCTTTAAACTGGGAGGAGAGAATCAGGGTGTGTTTAATTACGGAGCAATCTGGGGATGGCTTTGCTGTGCGCTGGTGGTGGTTCTTGTGTTCTTTCTGAAAAAAAATATGTGCTGGGGTAGAGACAGGCTGCTTTTGATTAAAACGATGTGAAGATGAAGATCAAACCTCTTATTTCTCATTTTAACATCAATGGCATTGGCCGTTTTAAGTGTCTTTCTTTGAGCTTGCACAAAGTATTTTAGTTTCAATTAGGAAGAAGTTCGAGGATGGCCAAGAAAGCGCAAAGCACAAAATGCAAAACAGTAACTGGGTGGAAACTTCATGACCCCAAGTCGTGCTATGTGTACAGAGCTGGGAAATACTTTGATCTTGGAGTCTTATGGGCAACTCGCACTTTAGTTTTTCAGAATGAAATGGGACAAGTCTCTGAAAAAATACAATATAGGTAATAGTGTTGCTGTGCAGAGATGGTAGGGCAGGATGGACTCTTGTGATAGAAATCAATTGACAAAAGCCTGCGACTCTCTGAACTGAGACTGTGGATTCGGAGAGCAGGATATCTTGTGGGTCTAACTTTTCTTCCTGCAATAATCTGTATCTCAGAGGTAAGGCAGAAGGTGTTTTCCCTGACCATTCACATTAGTGCTGTTCTTGATCCTCACTCCTTAAAAACTAGAAAGGACTGGAGTGGATTTGGATGCCAGGATCATCTAGTCCGTTGATCTGGAACTTCTTTAATACTTGAGAACCATTTGATTAGGCTTTAGCATCCTCTGTTTATTTTGTCCTCATTACCTGTGAACTTAAACAAAAAAACCCCTTGCTTTGTTTGGGTTTTAGTCTGTCTCGAGACTGAATAAAAACTTATCCACATCCAGGAGGAGCATGGATTAGGGATATTGCTCCAGAGCAATCTGTGCTCTTAACAAGTGGAAAAATAAACATGAAAAAAAAAGGCAGAGTTCCTCCCAGAAGTGTCTGGGCCATGAAAAACATTTCTGTATTCACTCAGTCACTTGCTGCTTGAGAGAGTAACACCAGGAGATAAAGAGTATTTACACGGTGCCTGCTGAGGAGTTCATCTCCCTGAGATACCCCAAAAGCAATTCCTGCACCAATCCTTTCCCAGCACGGCCACGCTTTCCTCTTTTGTGATCCCCTGCTCTCTTCTGCTGCATTTATTGAGCTTTCCTTCATGACAGATTGAACTAATTCTTCGACCCTTGTTGTTCAAAAGCCGCCTCTTGCTACAGTCTGTCCGTTGTTCAGTAAGTCAAGTAGATTGTTTGATTGGATATTTGTTTTCTGTAAATCATGGGAATGGTCTGAAACCGAACAGAAAAACCCACTGGTTAACAGGAACTGCTGTGGTTCCTGTTACAGTTCTTGGATTTTTTTTTAAGATATACCTGCTCTGGGTGAAAGTCACACAGATCTGTTTTCAAGATAGATTTTCTGTAGACCGTCTTTTTGCTGGCTCTGAAAAAGTTTTTTCTTTTTAAATATACCTGCTCTGGGTAAAAGTCACACAGATCTATTTTCAAGATAGATTTTCTGTAGACCATCTTTTTGCTGGCTCTGAAAAAGTTTTTTCTGAGTGTGACTTGAAGGGAACATTCAGTTTTGGTGTCTTTTTTTTTTTTTTTTCTTGAAATCTCAGTGGTTGTAAGGAAGGCAGAGCTATTTATTAAAACTGAATGCAGTTCCTGGGCAGTGAAATCTATATTACGTGTTTTAGATACTATGGAAAAAACTCAGCAGTGGAGAAGGAAAGCCTTACACTGCTGGGTTGTTTTTTTTTAATAGTTCTGTTTAAAATCAGCCTCTGCTTCAAGGAATTTTTTTTCTTTAGAAATGTGCCTTCATTGTGAAAAGCTGCAGTAGAGATAATAGTGCAGTGAATATTTTTTTTTTTTTTTAGCAAATAGGTTGATTGGAAAATAAATCAGCAGATTGTATACAGGCAGACTGCTACGTCCTCATAGCTGTGTCAGATTTATTACTGAAACTAAAAGCAAAGAAAATTTCCACCTGCTTTCTGGAAAGCACAGAGGAAACAACCCCGCCAAGCTGCCGAGTAAGCGGCTTTTCCAGCTACATTGCTGAGGTCAGGCGCCTGGGTTTTTCAAGTCTTATCCTGCCCTTAAATTTCCGTCGTCCTCTCTGTAGTCAGAGCCTGAGCTTTTATTCAGGCAGTGAATAAATGTGAGTCTTGAGACTTCTGCAAGAGCTACATGAGAGCCTGTGGTGGAGGATACTTGGATGTGGCAGCTATCCATCATGTCGTTCTCGCTTTTCAGAAAAAAAAAAAATCCCATCGCACTTGTCTCTTTCTCTTCTGCTTTATGTGGGTTCCCCCCCTTTAGGTGAGGCTGGTTTTTCTGATGCAAATCCTTGTGCCTGATGCCAGGGCAAGGTACCAGTGCTCATAAACCAGGATCCACGCTGACCCTCTGCTTGGCCCCTCCTGGCTTTGCACCCCTCTGTTGCCTCCCAGCCTCACCTGGCTTTCACACCCTCTGATGGCTCCAGCATCCTCTAGCAGTAACCTGTCACCAGGAGATGAGCCCCAATGGTGTCATTAAAAGTCCTTCTCCATATTGGCTTGTCCTTGTCTTAGGAGATGCTCGGACACACTTTCAGGCTGACCTGTGCTTTCTGCTCCAACTGTTGCCTCCCCCCTCTGTTGCCTCCCAGCCTCACCTGGCTTTCACACCCTCTGATGGCTCCAGCATCCTCTAGCAGTAACCTGTCACCAGGAGATGAGCCCCAATGGTGTCATTAAAAGTCCTTCTCCATATTGGCTTGTCCTTGTCTTAGGAGATGCTCGGACACACTTTCAGGCTGACCTGTGCTTTCTGCTCCAACTGTTGCCTCCCGTGCTGCCCCGCCACATTTCCCTCTGTCCCCCATTATATCCTGCCAGCATTATATCCCTGCTCTTCTTCTCTCTGATCCCATCACACTCTGCCTGCGTTTCCAGCTTCTTGTCTCAAGCTCCCTCGTTGCACGCTGTGAGCCTGGCCTCGCTGCCCCACCATTAACCCCTGCACCACTAACCCGCTCCTTGTTTGTCCCCCCGTTGTCAGAGCACCCCTGGGGTGACCCCAGAGAGCGGGTTTCTGAGCCTCGCAGGGCACGCGGTGGTGACAGACACGAGCACCGAGAAGCGCCCTCGCCGTTGTCTGACGGTGCCTCTGAACGTGGACATTCCCCCTCGGAGCATCCTTGGAGGTCTTCTCAACCAAGCGAGGCCAGTGATGGCCATCGGCAGGAGGGGAAATCAGCCAGCCAGGGGAGATCCAGGAGACCTCCCAGCCTTGACCTGGAAAGAGAGGCTGAGCGTGGTGCCTGTGACCACAGCAAGAGCTGGGAGCTGCGGGAGAGGCGAGCAGCCAGCGGGGAGAAGGCTTGGAGACCTCTCAGCCTTGACCTGGAGTCAGAGCACGGACTGGCAGACCGGGCGCGCGGCAGCAGAAAGGCAACGAGGCAAGACAGAGAAAAGCCTTTGCCTCTGCCTGAGATGGAGCTGGAGGCTGAGCAGGAGACCTGGCGTCGGGGTGGCAGCCAGCTGGTGCGCCCTGGAAAGCACAAACCTCATCGGCAGGGCCACTCGTCGCACAGGACAGTGCGTGATGAGAAGCTCCATGATGCTGAGTCCAGAGACGATCATCGGAGGGGTGAGGAGAGAGACTGCAAAAGGGCAGGAGGCAGGAGACCGTCCCCCTCCCTGCACGCTGTGACCCAGGGGAAGGTTGGAGGCTGCCAGCGAGACTCAGGTAACCAAGTGACGGGGAAGGCGTACGTGCGTGTGGGGATGGACCTTGGCGTGCCCCATCCTGGTGTCTGACATCTGTGGTGTTGCCTTTGAAGATGCTTGTCTCTAATATCCGCCTGCAATCTGCACGTGGTGAATCCTGCCCAGGTTTCTCCCTTATTTAGTGAGATTCTTCTTACCCATTCATGTTCTTGCTCTGTTTATTCCCTGACATGTTCTGTGGCATCAGAGAGGATGAGTAAGAAGGTAGTGTTGGAAATTTTCCCCTTTAAGGAAAAAAAAAGAAAAACACAAAAAAATGCCAAACAAACAACCACCAGCTTTTATTTCCATTATGTATTTTGTGCTGTGGTCTTCTTGCACAGGAGAGAAAAAAAAAAGAAACCTAACCAAAAAAAGTTGTGATTACATTTGTATTTTGTTGATTTGAGATGCAGGGCTGTAAGGGAAGACAGTTTGCTCACGCAGTAACAAGCCAGCAATTTCCATCTGCTTCTTATTGAAAACCCTGCTGGCAACACAATCAGTTCACTTCAGGCAGAGCTCACTTGTGGCACCAGGTGTGCAGCTGGGCTCGGTTTGTAAGATGGGGTTTTTGTCAAATTCTGTACGAGTGGATTTTTCTAGGAAACGCCTACCTGTGTAGTTCTTGTTCAGTAATCCTTGGGGACTGGTGGGCTTTAAAGACCCAGATCCATCCTTCTGCTTTTAAAACCACACTGGGTGTGGGGGTGACCTGTCACTTGGTGGAAGTAGGAGTTTAGAGACTTAGAATCATGGAATCATTAAGATTGGAAAAGACCTCAAGGATCATCAAGTCCAACCATCAACCCAACACCACCCAACCCACTAACCCATGTCCCTCAGCACCACATCTACACGTTTCTTGACCCTCTCCAGGGATGGTGACTCCACCACTGCCCTGGGCAGCCTGTTCCAATGCCTCATCACTCTTTCAGTGAAGAATTTTTTCCTAATATCCAGCCTAAACCTCCCCTGGTGCAACTTGAGGCCGTTTCCCATCACTTGTTCCTTTAGAGCAGAGCCCAGCACCCCCTCACTGCCCCCTCCTTTCAGGCAGCTGTAGAGAGTGATGAGGTCTCCTCTCAGCCTCCTCTTCTCCAGACTGAACCCCCCCAGCTCCCTCAGCCGCTCCTCGTCAGCCCTGTGCTCCAGACCCTTCCCCAGCTTCGTTGCCCTTCTCTGGACCTGCTCCAGCCCCTCAATGTCCTTGGAGCTGTGTTTGCCACAGTGTGGGCAACTTGTACTTCCAGCCATCTGACTGCTCTTCGGTGGGTTAAGGAGGGGATGATAATGTGTGTCTGTCTCTGGAGATGCTGGGAGAATTATTCTTCATCTTCCTCATGCAGGTTTTTCTTTGGAGAAGTGGAAGGTGTTAGTTGGGTCTTTATATATAATCAGTAGGTTGTGATTTGCCCTGTGCAGTGTGGGTCCGAGTGACCCAGCATCCCATCACATTGAGGGAGAATAGCCAGGAGCTCACATCTGCTTCCTGGGGCCATGGTCAGGGTGGGCTTGTGCTCCCCTGAGCGCAGGCAGAAGTGGTGTGTAAGTCAGGCTTGTTGTTATCTTCTGAGCAAATGTAGCCTGGCACTGGAGGAAAGCTCAGCCTCGGGCTGGCCAGCAAACAATTCCTGGAAATTTACTTTTTTTTCTTCATAGAGGTAAAGCTGTACAGCAGCCTGCCGGCCACACTGTTGTTCATTCCAGCCTGGTAAAACTGTGTTTACCTTCACCTTGGAAGCACTCTGGAGAATTTAACTCTGACCAAGCTGGTGCTTTTTGTCGGAGTTTCTGTGCTGGCTGGAGATGGCAGCTCTTCACGGCTTGGGTTGATCCCAGTGTGCTGGGAAAGGTCAGGTCATACTCTAACCATAACGTGCCAGAGCTGAAGTTTTCTTCCTATGCTAAGAGATGGTTTGTAAGAGGGATGTTAATTGCCTCAGATCCTTGACCAGTTGATTCAAACAAAACAAAAAGCAGAAAACCCCTCACGCCGCCTCTAATAGCTGTAGAAGAGGGGGTTTCCTATTCCATGGTTTTATTCTGGGGGGATGTGTGAGTTCAGGTTGAAGTCTTTGGGATGCTTGATGTGATGGTGGTTTGTTGGTAGATGCACAGAAAGTTGTTTTTTTGTGTTTTGGGTTTTTTTTAGTTCATTTGGTTACTTCATGTTTTTCCCTTGGTCTTACGAGATGAGAGATAAACTTAGAGCTGGTCCAGGAAGATGTAGCGGGTATTTATGATAAATGTGTAAACGGTGTGGCTGGGGGCATGAAAGTTTTGAGTGAAACTTTCTGGGTTTGAGGTGGAAAGGAGATGGACATCTGGAGTGTGTGTGTGGTTGGGACATGAAGCAGAAGGCTCGTTGAGATGTCTCGGTGTCTGAGTTCAGGCTGCAGGTGGAAGGAGAAGGATTCGCTGTATGTGAGGGAAGTGATGCATTCTGCAACAGGGATACAGGGGGGCTCCTGACTAAGGAGAGACAACATTTAAAATCACTTGGAGATGTTTTAACTTTAAAATAAAGAGACAAACAAAACTTTATACTCAAAGCAAGAACTGACCCTTATATGAACTTCAGAAATATTTACTTGGCTGTTTTCTCACTGTGAATTGTAAAATTCCATGTCAGCACGTGGAAGAAGCTGTCAGAAGCCTCATGTGAGCCTGTCCCAGGCAGCTTTTGCAGCCCGTGCCGCTCCAGCGGTGTGTTCAGACTCTGCCGTGCTCGTGACAGATGTTAGGCTGCTCCCTGCTGCCCAGTTTTGCCAGTGGATCCGTATCAACACCGTGTGAAAAATGACGATTCCTTTGCTAGCATCGCTGTGCCAGCAGAGACTGCTTTAAGGGACGTGGCCTCTTCTGCCACACAGTTGCGTTTGTCACACAAGAGAAGGTGTATTGGATATTTCTGTGTGCATAGAGAAACCTCCCTGGGGCGCCCGCTGCCCCCTCAGCTAACGGTGATCTGTCGGGTAACGCTGTCGTGGTCTCTGCTCCCTTGAGTGGGGCTTCTGCCGGCGGCCGAGGAGCTGGCTGGGATTTCCTGACCAAAGCATTTGGGAATCGATGAGCTGATTGTTTTCTCTTCACAACTCTGTAGGCGCCAAGTCGAGGGGGACGAAGCAAGCCACACCCCAGAGGGAACAGGAGTTGTCTGATGCGGAGATTGCTCGGAAGCTGCAGGAGGAAGAGCTCCGGGTAAGGAGAGAGGGTGCATGAGTCAACTGGAAGGAACAAAGGTAGCCAGCGATGACAATTTTCATTTGCAAAGCTTTTATGTATGAGTTAGGTGGTGTTGGGTTGGACTTGATGATCCTTGAGGTCTTTTCCAACCTTAATGATTCCATGATTCTATATGATTCTATGAAGTGACTTTAAGACCTCAGGTCTTGCTGCTGTGCGTTCTGATGGTTACCTTTGTCTCCCATACACGCACATGGAGTGACAGCTGGCAGCCAGCCAGTAGAGCCCTCTTTTCTGAAATAAAATTAAGTGATCGAAGCAGGGTGATATGAACCATTTCCAGGCAGGTAGAGATGGCCTGTGGTCAGTGTGGTCAGCCCAGAAGTGAGACAGGGCAGCGCTCATCTTTGAGAGAGAGAGCAGCAGGGTGCACAGGGCGTTGTGGTGGGGGCTGGCGGATAGATGAGGACAAAACACAGCTGAGAAGCTGAGATCTCCGTCTGGCATTGGGCTGGGAGGTAAGTATGGAGCTAGCTAAGTAAATTTGGAGAGGATGGCAGTGTATTTGTATGGACACCTGCTTGCCCTGCCCGGGAGGTTAATGGGTATGAATAATTAAGAAGTGTTGCTCTTTTGTCTCTGGTTTTTTTTTTTTTTTCTTCCCCCCTTTTTTTTTTTTCCAGGATAACGAGGCAGATCAGAAGGCAGCTCAAGTAGCCCAAGATGAGGTGAGCAAGAAGTCAAATGTTTGCAGTATTCCTTTACTTGTGGAAACACTAAACCTCGCTTGTCCCCTCTGGCCCTGTAGTTGTTAGTTTCCCTCCTTGTAGGGGAAGCTCGGGGCTCCAGTGGGATTTGGTCCTAGCTGGTTTTTATATATATACTCAGACTGGCCAAGCTGGGAATTGCGCTGCCTGGTGGCAACCATGGCAGAGGAAGGAAGTTTGTGGCTGTGTAAGAGCATCTCTTGTAGCAGAGCCCCAAGGGAGACCACCAGAGATGCTGAGAGATTTCCTCCCCCATTGAAGGAGAAGGGATAAAGGGCAGACAAAGGCTCTGCAAGTGCAGTTCTGGCAAATTGGGGATCAACCAGGCATGCTGCATGTAGTCAGTCTTAATTCTACTCTGTCACCTGATTTCTGGTCCAAGAAGGGTGAAGTCCTGGCTTTGCATCCTTTCCATTCAGCAGCTGTCCATAGGAAAGGGTTTAAATAACTCCAGTCCACAAGAGCAGTAAAACTATCTGACACACTCTCTGTCTTTTCCCTTCTAGGAAATTGCCCGACTCTTGATGGATGAGGAGAAAAAGGCTTTCAAGAGAGGGCAGGAGAGAGAAAAGTCCTCCTTTGAAAGGAGGAGGCATGATCAAGATTGGAAGGTATGTCAAGCTCCAGGAGGCGATACAAATGAAGGGCTGTAACGTTATTCCTGCTTCCAGAGGCAGGTGAGGGAGTGTGGTGAGAGTAGGAGGAGTGATGCAGACTCTTGCATACAGAGGGTCTTGCTGCCTGTTGTTCAGCTGCTTCCCAAGCCTGTTGGAGCCACCTCCTTGGTTAGATGCTCTTTGGCTTCAGCCTCAAGCAAGCTAAGCCTTGGGCTCTGGCCTTGGAGGTTGGTGCTGGATGTCCCAGCACCTTGTGGCCTCCCTCCAGCACCGTCAGTCCCCACGGTCCAGGACCTTCCCTCTGCTGAAATCCCAACTGTAGCAATAAAAGCAGCAGTTGGTTCTGTTTGTGCCCCACAGGTGTAAGGACAATGCAGCTTCTTCAGTTGTCACTCTGCTTTGTAATAAAACTGACTCTATAATGAAAGTTTTGAGTGCAGGAAGCCTAGGTTTTTGTACGAATAATGCTACAGAAGCTTGGCTAGCTGATCTGGGAGGTGATAGGAAACAGATTTCCTGGTCTGCACTGGTAAGGTTGTGTTAATCTTGTGGCCAGTTGGAGGTAGCTCTGCTTTCAGCCTCCTTCCTGCGTTTGAGTGGTTGCAGGAGCACAGCTGCATGCAGCTGGTCCCTTCTGCTCAGCCCCGCCGTGCACACAGTCGTTACGCGCTGACTGTGTTCCACCCCAGCTTTGGGATGAGTCCCGCAGTGCTGTCTCGTGTTTAGAGCAAAAACTGAGTTTGGCTCAGCAAGGCTGAATTTCAGTTACTGGAAACCAGTCCCGATGCTGCCGTTTGCTCGTGCCTGGCTGTGGTTAGGTGTGTGTATAAACTGAGCACGAAAGGGCTGCGTGGGGCTGTGGCAGCCTCGATGCGCTGGCTGGTGTCTCGCAAGGCACACAGGTGAGCTGCTTTCCCTTTCTCTTCCCATCAGTACGATGCAAGCGTGTCCCCACGCTCAAGGTCAAGAGAAGGGCTCGAAACTCCGCGACACAGAAGCGACAGGTCTTCAAGGTGAGCTTGAACTGGCCGGTGAAACCGGGGAAATGCTGTCGGGAAGCTGCGTCCTAAGGAGGAGTTGTGGGGTGACCAGCCTGACCCACCCAAAGGGCTTGGTACAGAGCAGAGGTTTCAGCACCGAAAGGAAGCGGAGGGCACAGAGCTGTGAGGTGTTTGGTGACATGCGTCACTTGCTGTGCTTGTGGCATTTGTCTATATCCGTCTCCCTGCCTGGCACTGACGGAGATTGATGAGCTTGTGCAGTGACATTTGTTAAATGGCAGAGAAACATGGAGAGGGTTAAAGAGCTTCTGGGGATGTGAAACCAAATGTCATCTCTGGGCAGGAAGGAGGAATCACGCTGCATTGGCACAGCTGCTTCCTTGGGTCCTTGCTCCCAGCGATGCCCTGTACGCTGCTGCTGTGTGGGGACAACCCCCCGGCAAGCAAGTACGGTGTGCTTTGGGGTGCCTCGTCCCAGAGCTGATGGGAACGTGCCGTAGCCCAGCGCTGCTGCTGAATCACTCGGTGCCTTGGTCTGATGCTCCTGATGGGGGACTGAACTCTGGAAGTGACCCCAGGGGCTTTGATTTCCAATCCAGATCTGAGCCTAGAAATTCTTCTTGAATTTGCAAAAGAAACAACAAATGAGGTGTGCAGGTGGAGACTGAGAGTCATCTAACTAAAATACTCTGGAGTTAAAACCAGGCGAGCATTAAACACTTTGAAACGTTGCTCTTTCCTTTTGAGTGAGGTTTGCATCAAACTTCTTAATGGAAATTCTTTTGTTTCCTGACAACTAAAACCATTATTAAATGAAAGTGGTCTATGAGAAGTAGCCAATACTGTGTGTTTCTCACCGCAGAAACGGTGCTGTGCTCAGGGGAGCTGGGCTGCAGGTAAGCCCAGGTCAGACACAGTTTGCGTCAAACCGATAGGGACAGACCGGGCAGCTGAGATGGTGCTTCTGCCATGCTGTTATGCCTTTCAGGTTTTCTCCTAATGCTTTTTTTTTTCTTCACGGCACTTGGCAGGTCACAGCCTCGCCTCGATGACTTGGAACACTCTCGGTATTACAGAAGCCATCCCAGCCCCTTGCGCCAGATCCCCAGATCTGAGCACTCTCCTAAAGGTAGGATCAAGCCCATGCTTGCCCCAGCACGTGGGTTATTGTGGGCTGTTTTCCTCAAATTACCAGCCTGAAGGACAGGACATCTGGAAGAGGGATGCTAAGAGAGAGGAGGAAGGGGTACTATTGCCCTAGCAGGCAGGTGATGCTCGGCAGTGTTGGAGCTGTACTTGCTGAGCACGTTGCAGGCTGGGAGACTGAAAAGCTGGATTGGTTTGCCTTGAGTTAGTCAAGCTGCTCTCTGCTTTTCCTCTGTGATCTCTTAATGATGAATGACTGTAAATCCAGGCAGCAAATGAAGGAGAAAGAACATGAAGACAATGGCATGATGGATTTTGGGTGACTCACCAGTGTCAAAGAATCCAACAGAAGACAAAACCTTAGAGTACCAACTGTCTGGCAGGTGGATGGGGTGATCAGGCAGAAGCTTGTTGTGAGAACAGGCTCGTTTTGTTCCTGTAGCATCTCAGCACTGCTTTGTTGGCTTGTTTCCTGATATCACTTGGCACAGGAACAGTGTGGTTAGGGTCGCTCCCCCCAGGTTTTTAAATCTCAGTGCTAGTTGAGTTATCTGTAGAGTCTCTGGGGGAGGAAAGATAGAGTTCAACTCAGGTGCTCGGATTTCTTCCAACTCCACTGATTGTGACTTAAATGTGGACAGTTTGCTTCCAAAAATTTGAAGTTTGGGAAACTTTTGCATTCTGTCTTCATCAAACAAGCTGGAAAGTTGATGGCACTTTACAGAGTCCATAAGCCCGGTGTTCATTCCATTTTCTTCAGTGAGGCTGTGCAATGTGTCTGTCTGTCTTGTGATCTTACATTACTCCAGCAACAGGAAGGATAATGTACAATTCCCATTTTGGCATTGGACTTTACCAGTACCCTGGAAGTCACACAGATATCCAAGAGGACAAACAAAAGATGACTGCAGGTAGTATTTTCTTCCCCAGGATCTATCCTTACAGATTTTTTTTCTCTCTGTTTTCTTTTCCAGGTTACCATAGGAAGCACTAAACTGTGCTAGCCTTTGCTTTGTTATTGACTCTTCTGTAGCAAACATTACTGGAATTGCCAGGCAACTTTCTCAATTCCTTACCCAGTGGGATGTCCACCCTCCACTCCCAGGATCTCCTCTTTTTAAGTGTCACCATATTAGTAAGGAACATTGTTAGTTTCAATTTCTTGCTCATATGTCATCGCTTGAGCAGTGCAGTATAATCTAGCCGCCACTGAGCTGTGTGAATCAACTAGCTGACTTAACAGCTCCCTCTTACATTCTTTTGAGGCTTTCTTTTCACTTTTATTTTTAAGCTCTGGCTGGAGCTTCCACAAATAAGGCAAATAAACGTGCACCTACACCAGGGAGGAAAATCCAATGAATGAGTTGGGTTATGGCAGTGCAGCAGAACATCAGATGTACAAGTCCTTTCCGTACTAGGATGACTTGGCAAAGAGAGTTGTAAGAGGAAATGTGTTTCTTCCTGTGCTGGATAGGACGGCTGAGCCAACCTGACAGTCATTCTAGCTTGCAGGAAGGAGAGAGAGTCTTCATCATGTACAAAAGCCAGAACCTGGGACTGGTGAGGAAGAAATTGACTGTAGAACAAAATTTCTTAACTGCTGGATTTCTTTCTAGGGTTTCCAGCAATCTGGGCAGTGTGTGTAACCAGGCATTTAGCTCCAGGATATGGGTAGAACAGTTAAAAGGAAAGACAATTTCAACTGAAATTAGACCTTGTGTGCGTGACTTTGAAGACATGCCAGGGAGTTGATGAAGCTGTGAGTTGTGGATTGGGAAGAATCATACAAACGGATTTAAATGCCTGGAGGGACCTCTGTGGTCAACTGAGCTTTGGTGTGCTAGAAGCCAAGGAGCTCCGCTGAAGCCAGGCAGGAACTGCCATAACTCCTAGCTCAGTTGCTGATGTACTTGAGCACAGTAACGTGTGTCTGAACCTGCATGTGTCTTGGAAATGTACGACTGCAGGAGGGCCATAGGGCATTGAATATTGGATCCAAAATCTAGTTACAGGCAACTTGGAGCCAAACAGTCCACACGATGTCCGTGCTGACTGCCTCCCCCCTGCACTGCGCCGTCCAGCACCCCAGGCAGGCTCCAGTCGGGATAAAACTCTTGCTCTCTGGGGCATAGCAGGGTCTGCAAGTTTAAGTTGTCTGTCTGTATAGATAGCCCCATGCAGGGATATTTTTTTTTTCTTTTGATAGCTTGTTTTCCCTCTACTCTTTGAAAATCATTCTTCTCTTGCACAAACAAGCAGCCTTTTCCCTTGTCCTCCTCTCATGTTCTCTGCCTGTGAAGAACCAGATAACCCCCGGTAGACCTTTGCTCCAGGCATACACTGGCCAAAAATGTTGTAACAGGACTTTGTGCATCAGCAGCATCCTGCTAGCTGCGTGCCCTTGCTTCCAGACTGAGCTTGCTCGCGTGCATGAACCCTGAAGTGACTCAAGCTCTTGCTGCTGCTTCTCAGGAAATACCCCAGCCAGCGGCTAGATTCTACAGCTCTTGCCTTGTGCCCTCTTTTCGTTCCATCTCTGTCCATTCAGAAGCGTTAATGTTGTTTTAAAGGATCCAGGAAAGTAAAAACATAGACCCTATATTTTTTTCTGTTTGTTTGATAACTTGGGCCAATGTGGCAACCTCTTCTGCAATGATTTTGTTTTGTAAAAATTTATTTTTGTATTTCATGTAAGAGTCAAAATTTCTACTGCTGAAAATACCTTTTTTTTTTTGTGGGTTTTTCCCCTCCATTGCCATCGGAGTATATTTGTTGTTGTGAAATGGACGCCTGGTGGGGTTTTTCTGTACTAATACGTCTACAAATACCCCAGCCCAGGCTCTGCTGCTTGTATCATCTGATGCACTTGGTGAAAACTGGATGGGGAAAAATCCTGCCAAATCAGAAAGTGCTTGTGCTTTGTACTCACTGTGCACGGGGGAAAAACGGTGACCCTCTGCAAAAGGGAAAGGGAAATCGCCAACTGGGAACTCAGCCCTCCCTGAGCCTCTGTAGCTGGCGGTGATGGGCTTTGCCTGATGTAACTTCTGTCTTACTCAAATCGGAAAAGTCATGAAGGTCCTGAGCCTGCTGACCCTTCAGGAACCTCTTCATTCAGGAGGGATGCTTGGGAGCGTCCGAGTTGTTGACTGAGTGGAAATGATATGGGAGAAAATGGGTTAATTTTGTTTGGAAGCTGGATCAAGTCTGAAGAACGCCCCAGTGCCTGCCCTGGGGAGCTGCAGGATGTCCTCCTCGGGCCAGCCCAGCTCTCGGTTGCTCCATATCTTCCCCTAGTCCATACCTTTTTATTCCTGCACCCTGCCTTTATTCATTTGCTGTCCCTTGTGAGGGTTTCTCCTGTTTTATTTTTCCATGGCCCTTGTGAAAAGGGGTTTTGTTAGAAGGGGCTGACACCTGTCTCTAGAGAGAGAGGGAAATGCTAGGGGTGGTAGCTGAGGAAAGTGTGTAATAAATGGGGTGTAAACAATTGTTCTTCAGATATCCCTGGTGGGTCTCGCGCAGCCAGCAGGTTAGAGACTGCCTGAGGCAAAGGTTGCAACAGGACTTGAACGTTCACCAACGTGTTTGGAAGGAGATGCCATGGTCCCGTATCAGAGCAATATTTCCTTTCTAGGACAGAAAAATGTTTATTTTTTTCCTTCTCTTGCCAAGCTTTAGTAGCTTTGCCTATGGTTTTGCTCTGGATTTCATAGCACGTCAGAGCCCTTGCTGGGACCCCTGCCCAGGTCGTTCAGGTCTTGCATCCCTTTCGGACTCTGTGCATTCACAAGGCACCAGGCACCACGTGGAAAACTCATCACCGTGAAATCCTGGCACTTCCTCATCTCCACGGTAGGCACATCTCACCAGCAAGAGCTCTCGCCACCTCCTCGCCTCCGTCCGAAGCACAACGGTTGCAGAAGAGAGGTTGGGCGAACCCAAGCGATCGTGCCTTACACGCAGGGATACTCCATGTCGTCAGCAGCCTGATCTGAGTCACCTTGCTGTGAAACACTGTCTTAACCTGGACTGTACAGCTTCCTGCAGCGAGAAGCAGTTGTCGCCACATGGATAGATCCAACAGGTTAATCTCATCTTTTTTGAAAGAGCTTCATGGGTTTGAACTTAGCGGGGTGGGAAAATATCAGCTGTTAGGGGATAGATGAAGTCTCATCATTGAATTTCTCCTCGTGGGGAGGAAGGATAGAAGTTACAAATGCTGCAGTCTGCTTCACTCTGTAAAAGGGATCTTGTATGTACAGTATTTTTATATCTCTGCATTCCCACCTGTCAGGATTTGAATCAGGATTAATAACATTCTATTACTTAGGGAAAAAAAATGGATTTTTATTTTTACAGTGCTAGACCTTTGTGTATTTTTTTGTGCCAAATTACAGCCACTGTTACATTCTAGTGTTTTCAGTTTATTGCTATTGATCAATGTGTATATTATATATATTTTTATTATCAAGGTTTTTATTTTAATTTGTATTAACCTGTATGCAACCTAACTGTGGATTGCTAATTTATATATAGAAGGGGAGCACTTGGAGACAGTGTGAGGATTCCCCTACTTGGTTCACATTCTTGTAATCTAACACAGCCAGTCCGTGCAACTCACCGCTCCTTACACAGAACCATCTCCTGGGCGCCTGTCACCCTGGGTGGCTGCTGCCGTTCCCCCGGGTGGCACTGCCACGGCGAGGAGGTGCCATAGGAAGGGAAGCGCAGCTCCCAGCATGGACTGAGATCTCTGCTGTCCCGCTCTCGACAGCGATGCCGGGGAGGATGCTGCAGCAGGACTGCCCATCTGGCGGTGCCGTGGGGGTCTGCTCTGCCTGTCTCCATCCCCAGCTGTACCGCAGGCAGCTTGGCTTTTTTTTTGTCGTGGAGGACAGGCGTGAAGCTGTAGAGATCCCAGTGAACTTGACTCTCTAAAACCCATGCTGTAGCGCATCCCTGGCTGTGCAGCTTGCACTG